CTATGCTTGTATACCGTTGACTTCAGGGTCATTGCTGGATAATTTATTAGAAATCTCGTTTTTTTTAAAATGCATTATGGGCAGTTATATTTTATGCATAATCCATAAAATATTATTTTTAATTAAAAAAATTTTTAATTCATATCTCCTTTTATAGAAGAAGTTATAAAAATAAGCTTTTTCTCTTTATATATACACACATTAGGTCAAGAAAATGGAAATATTTAATTAATTAATTCCTGCGCTTCTGCTGGAGAGAATTGAATTTAAAAGCAATTATTATAGTAATTTTTTGTTAAAAAATATTTAGGGCATTAATACTGTCTCATGTTAATTGGTAATGAAAGTTTAGAGCCGTAAACATCCCAAAGTGTGAGCACATGTATGTACATTCACATAAAAGTGAAACGAAAAATATACATATATGTACAGGGTTTCAAAAGAATAAATACTAAAGTTAAATTAAATTTAAATAATTCTCTTGTGCCATTGCTGCAAGGAATGAAATTTGAATTTAACAAACATTCTCTATTTTTAAAAGAAAATTTAAAGTTAATTAAATTTAAATGAATTTTAATGCTAACAAATAAATGATTAATTATTGCTGCAAACTAATCTACAATATCACTTAAATTCTGAGAGCATAAAATCAAGTGCAAGTATCAAAATCCATGAATAAATATATAATTCCAAAACATTATTTATCCTTATTGTAGATTAGTTCACAGCAATAATTAAACATTTATTTGTTTGCATTAAATTTCATTTAAACTTAACTTTAAATTTGCTTTTTACGAATAGAGAATGCTTGTTAAATTCTAAATTCGTATTACATAATTTTCAAAATTTTTTGCGGGGAAATTTTAAATAAATAAGAGCATAACTAAAACAATATATTTAATGTATATAATAATAGAAATAAATTATAAAACATGAATATAGATCAAATTGGAACAAAAAGTTAAGGAAGTTGCAGACAGGGTGCAAAAAAGCATATGGGATTCGAACTCACGACCCCAAAAGTTAAACGTTGTTACCGTCAGCTTTACTACTAAGCTAGCTGCAGACAGGAATCGTATGCATATTTTGTCTTATACACATCATCAAGTAAATCAATTCATAAAACTAAATTTTTTGGTTCTATTTCAGTGTGCTATCATCTAAAAAATTCATCAAAGTTTGTTCTTCAGCTTCTAGTACATTTTTTACAAAAAACATTATCGTTTGAAGTGGCGTTCCGATTGAAGTTAAACGGGCTGCTAAAAATATATTTCATGTGCTTACAAATATACATTAGCCAAAAAGATATATTTATAACTAGAGAAATACAAATTTAACATACTCTTTAATACAGTAGAATATTTAAAAGACTATCAAATTTAATTTATAATTAACGTTTTTAGTTTTTACCTGTTTCAACAGAAAAAAATAACAAATCTTTTAATCATATCTGATTTGCTATAGCAGTTTGATATAGTCAGACATTCATTTTCATTAAAGGTAAAATGAGTATGCAGAATTAGGAAATAATTGTCAGGACAAATTTTGTTACTTCATGGACTTGGAATTATAATTTTTGCTGCTGATTTTCTTGAATGCCTGATTTTATCCGCGAACAAGTACTGTAATTGCAGTTATCTTATTTTTCTTATCTTTTTTTAACTAAATTCAGCTGATTGCTGACTTTTTCAGCACGCAGATTTCTCACTATAATGCTAATTCAGAAATAAGTATTTTTTAGCAAAACATTCTTTCCCTAAGCGAGCATTCATTGCTACTTAATTACTACCACCATTAATTTTTGGTGACTACACCTGATTGCTCCTTTTTTACCACATGACCCCAACGCATCCGCAGACATATGGATAGAAGTTGAACATTGTTGAACTCCAACTGTATGTCATCCGTCACTGCACATTGACCTGATTGCAGATGTCAATCAAAGTGAATTCGCTCGCTAATTGGAGAAATGCATGCACACATGCAGCAGTGGAAATGGGCCTTTAGAAAGCAATATAGCAGAGACGGGAACCCAGCCAATCTAAATTTGGACGACAGCTCTTTTTGGAAATTCATGCGAAACCTCAAGATGGACTTTTATCACCCTCGTTCAATTAATACAGAGAACGGTTTTGCCTATTCCAATCAGGAGAAATCTAATACCTTTGCTAAACATCTCAGTGAACAGTTCGTGCAAAACGAAATTTCAGTTGGTAACAAATAAGTAATTCATGATGAGGTACAACGTTGGCTCGACACACCTTCTCCACGTAACATTATTCAACTCACTACTCAGGAAGTTAAGGATATTATCAAGCATGCAAATGCAAAAAAAGCTCCAGGAGTAGACAAGATGTTTAAATATCTACTTCACTGCCTGATCACCAAATTAACCAGTATTTACAACGCCTGTCTCTCACGCTCCTAGTTTCCTACAGCATGGAAACACGTCAGCATTTTCCTTATCCAGAAACCTGGCAAGCCCCTGGAAGAATCTGCAAGTTATAGACCGATTAGTCTCTTATCTACTTTAGGGAAGATCCTTGAGAGGCTTATACTTAACAAACTTCAACAGCACACCGACACCATTGCAGACAAGCAGCACGGCTTCTGTAAAGGTCTATTAACCACTCATCAACTAATCAGGATTACGGAATTCATCGGAGTGGCAATCCACAACAAAAACTGTGTGGCCATCCTTATGCTAGACGTGGCGAAGGCCTTCGACTGCGTCTGGCATAAGGGCTTAATCTACAAGCTCGTGCACATGAATCTCCCCGGGGAAATCACTCTTATGCTCATACCCTATCTTAAAGACAGGACTTGTCTCACAAAGCAGTATTCTTTCGCCATTATTGTATACAATCTACACTAACTTTAAAGATAAAACAAATACCATTTTAGCATGTTACGCGGATTATACCGCGATCATCGAAAAATCAAGATGCCCCAATCACGCTCTAGAAAAACTTCAGCAAGCAGTTCCAGAAATAGAAGAATGGTGCAAGAGATGGAAGGTAAAGATAAATCCCGAGAAATTTCAAGTTTCAGTTATCTGGAAATACAAGACTAAAGATCAGCTTAGCTGTAAAATCACTGTTTGGGAAGCCAGTTCCCACCGCAACGAAGGCCAAATATCGACTTTGAATATGTGCATAATTCTTCAGCGGCATAATTAATACCTTTAGTTCAATACTTTTCTTAAAAATAGATTAATTTGCAAATTTTCCATGAGTGTATATAAAAGCTCGTACAGTGACAAAGTTGGCTTCAAATTGGTGAAAACACATTTATGCACATTGTCAAGGAAAAGGCTCACATTTTGAACATTTGCCGTTACAATGTTGACAGTTTTGTCATTTTTGCTTCTTAGAATAATGCCTCTTTCTACTTAGTTCATTTTTGTAGTTTGATTCAGTTTAGTATCATCAAAATTAACTATTTCTCCATGGTGCGCACAACTTTTCCATCACCTTCTACTTTAATTTCATTTTATTGTTTCTTATGTTTTGTATTCAACAGATAGCAATCTGGAGTGTTAAAAGTATCGAAGTTTGAAGAAGGCTACAAATTACAGAAGGAAATTTATGACAAGAGAAATGCAAATAATGTATTTTTTAAATGGGTTTAACTTCAATTATGAGATTGGTATCCTAATAAGAATTAATTTCTCATGCATGACAATGATCCACATCGTAAAGCAAAAAATGCTTCCAGTTGTTTGTTAGCTGAAAATAGCATAAAAATATTACTTTGGCTAAGAAGCATTATGAATAAAAATCTAATGAAACATTTGTGGCCCAGTACAAAAAGAAAAAGTGAAACAAAAGAAAGAAATCAACAAAGCTCATCAAAAGCCATCCAAAATTTGGCACACGACACAGTTAAAAAAATTTCAAATTCTTAATAGAATCACCTGAGAACAACAAAGTGCTCAGAAAGGAAAAATGTTTCCATAAAAAATTTTGAAACAAATTATGCCAAACTAATAAAAAGTATTAAGTGAAGCAAAGTTGTTCATTTGAAAATGCCATTTTGTAATAAACAATGAAAATATTTTAGATATGTTATTCTAACTATAGCACATATAGTGCTATAAGTGAAAAACATTTTAATTCCATTAAAAAAACTGAATTTGGCTGATACATTACCACTTAAAATATCCCTAGATTTTTTTCATTACACTAAACTGTAATCTGTCAACCTACAAAAAATTTCTATCAAACACAGCAGCAAATATTCTAGAACTTATTTTTAGTAAATATTGCACAAATGCAACATCAGCATGGAGAGCTGGGCTAAAATGCAATACAAAAATGTTAATTCTGAAGAATGTGCATTTCATGTAGAAAACAATGAAGCCTACACGCTTGAGCACGAAAAAAGAAAACAAAAAATGTAAGTAATGACAACTGCTGATAATTTCAAGTTTCAAAACAATCATTTATATGGAAGTTATACTGAAATGACAACTATTAAACCTGATTATAAACACTTTTTTCACTTGCATTTGAGAAAATTACTTTTGTATGAGTAGGCTTCAATTATTTGAATTATAGCAAAGCACAAGAGAACTACCTACCTAAATGGAGAGATATCTTCATGAAGGACTTACTATGGGAATTTAAATTGAGTTCACATCACCTCTCATGCAGTGAGACCATTCACTGAGATTTACTTTTGTAAGAAATGTATCTTTCAACACTTTTAAACTTTATCTTATACTCAAGAATTAAACCAGTAATAGGAATTTATAAAGTAATATACCCCAAAGGAGAAAGAGATATAAATTAAATTTACAATGAAACAAATATATTACCTGTCCAGTTGTTGGTCTTTACCTTTTACCTTAATAGCTGGAAGGAAACAACAACTAAGTTGATACCTTAACATATGCTCAAGTTAACCTAATACTGCTTTTTGTAATTTTATAGTATATTGTTTACTGTCTGTATTTCCTTAGCATGCATTTATGAAAATCAATGAAATGAAACATAAGGTACAATGAACTGAAAAATTTAATATCTTCCTAAACAAATCAACAGTTTTCAGTATTTAATACAGTATATTTTTATTTTTCCTTGCAAAAGTTCCAACAGATCACCACATTGCTCTTTCCGCTCCTGAAATCTGATTATAATCTGCCAGGTGGCGCCAAATAATTCTCGACATCCTAAATTTCTTCCACCTTCCACGAGGTCTTGATGTTAAAACACATCGTGCATGTAGCTTCGTATGGCAACTGTCTGTAGGAAGAGCAGCTATCTCTTTTTGGGCAACCTCCTTTCAAATATAAAAGTTTAATTGCCATTAGGAAAACACACACCACACACAAAAAAAAAAAAAAAAAAAACCATATAAATTAGTTGTAAAAAATCATTAAATTTCAAAACACAAATGTTCTTGCCGTATAGAACAGTCTGATGTAATAACTTTGTAATTAGTTTCTAAAGCATTACCTCTTTAGTAAATCATGCAGACAGACATCTGGAGCTTAGTAACAATAATGTAGCAAATAATATAAAGAGATCTTTTATCACAATTAAAGGATTTGATCAGAGTTAGGGAAAAAAATATATTTGTCTTTGAATCTTATTAATTTACTTTATTTTCATTTATTACTCCCAACTCAGAGGCAATATTAATGTAGAGATTTTAATAAACATAGCTCCTCAAAATTAAAGGATAATGGCAAAATAAAACTTAACTTATTGGTTAAGTTATTAAAAACAATTTGTACAATGCAATATTTACCATAAATTACAAAGTTTATAAGTTGATTAATCTCACAATCTTAAAAAGTCATATTTATGGAAATTTAAAAAATGATGCAAAATTATATCCCTAGTTCTACAATAAATCTTTCTTTAAAATGATGTATTATAACCTCTGATAGAAATGCAGACTTTTAATATTAATATAGAGTTTACCAAATAGTTGATCAAGTTTCGTGAAATTGTAATACCACTCTTCTGAAAGTGCACTTTTCAGATCCTAAAAGATATCATAAGGCATTTGGAACACTGCAATTTGATGTCCTACGGCATTCCAGATGCTCAATCAGATTCAAGTCTGGTGAGTAAGTTAGCTAATTTATTCAAATGATATTTTCTATTTCTAAGCATTCTGACATCAGGGATGTTCAATGTGAATAAGTATTATTTATTATCCATTAGCAAAATATCTGGGATAGCAGCAATGCTAAACAACTTCATATTGGATTCCAAGACCCTGTTCACAAAACTGGAACCACTCAAACTCCATCAAAGACATACAGCTCAGTGTGACTAACAAATGGAGTTCGATAATTCAAACCAAACCATGAAACATGACATTTCATGAACAAGTAGAGCCATGCTCCTCTCTCCCTCTAGAACAAAACATGTCTAGAATCATAGTTCAGGATATATTAGAACCTATCAATAAACAATATACAATATCATTCCTCTTAGTTTCACTGAACATGATAACAACACTACCTTAAACAGGACCCTTCGGAAGATGCACACAACCCATCAGTTTTCTTGAATAAAAATCCATTCTCATGAGGCCTACATGCAGGAACATACAAGCTCCTATGACTATGGTCATAAATCAATTATCTTAATGTTACTTCATGGTTTCTTTGAGCCAACGATAACAGACAATTGTCTTCAGATACAGGTGTTGCTCTAGGCAGCATTTAACCATGCTATCCTTTAACGTGTTCACTGCTTAAGAAGATTCTGTGTTTCTGATATGATTTTTTGAGGGATGTTCAAATATTGGGCAATCTCCATTTGTGTTTATCCCCCTTCAAGTCTACCAATTAAATACCATTTTCCCCTCCACTTAAAGAATGCCTTTCAGTCATTACAAATCAATACTCATCACTCTCAGAAACTACATAAATTTTAAACAGCATAACAAACCTAAAGTCCAACAAGCATTTATTATGAAACACATTGCTAGTTGTCTAATTTCCATATTTCAAGCATTAGCATATATGCTAATGCTTGAAATTAACATAAATAACTACACCTTTGGACATTGGTTGAAACTTTTAATGAGAGGACATTGTTTCAGATTATTCTTTAATTTTGACAATTTGTACAATAAATGCTAATGTATTCTGACTTCTGAAATCTAACCAAAATTCACAAGTTTATTAAAGATCAGGTTCCTTTTAATTTTTTTCTTTTTAATGTAAATGGTCACTACCCTCAGATTTTAAGGTGAAAAAATTCAATGTCAGTTACATGACAACAAAATTCATAAGAAATAACTGCAAACTTACTTGAAGCTTTTTCGGTAATACTGTATTATACCTCAAGGAATTCAGCTGCAGCCTGAGTTTAGCATATTCTTTTACTACTTTACGACGCTTTACATCTCGTAACATACGCCAATCAGTGTATCCAATGTATTTGGATCTTTGGATAGTCAAATTTGGGACCAAGTTTACCTTTATAAAAAGGGGAAGACATTAAATATACATTCAGAGAAATAAACTAGCAATGATAAAACTTTGATTTTTTTTTAACATCTCACGTAAAGTTTGCACAAAAAAACTTATCAAGGATTTTAGATGCATATTTCATACATTTATCATGTAGCAAATAAACAAACACATTTTAATTTATTCATATGCTGATAATATTTTTTTTTGCAAGCTTTTCAATGTTTTAGTATAATTTTATGATGAGTACCTTTCTTGAGCACAATCATTCATTTATTGCAACTAAAACAAAATTACTACAAAATACTTATTCAGCAGTATTAAGAAAGTACATTTACAAATATATTTTTTCATCTAACACATCCACAATAGTTTGTAGTATTTTAAAATACTACTGCTTCTGAAAAATGCTTCACATGCTCATTTAATCTTTATTTGGGTATAAAATGAGCAAGATCCAGATACTTTTATCTAATATTCATTAATATATGTCAATGTTATGTTACTGTTTTTTATATAACCTACCGTTTCAAAGGAAAGATCCAGAACAATTTTTTTTTTTCAGGTCAAACTAAGCTTGTTTCTTTACATTTTAAAATTTCTGAAAATTTACATCAGATATATTTTCAATGAGAAACATAGTAAAATGAATATTTCGACTACAGAGGCCTTCAACAGCATACTGGAAAGAGATCTCTCAAAATCATCTGCGCTTATCAAACATGATTCGTTGGATATTTTCTGGTTATTGTTTACAGATGTATTATATAAATACCTTTCATTACTGCTAAAGGTTAATTACAAAAAATAAATTTGTTTTCTAAGCTTGCAGCATTATAATGATAAAGAATTCAGACTGCTTTTGCAGTTTGAAATTTTAGGAAGAGTTCTAAAGATTTCCCCCTCAGTGTTAAAAGGCTTCATATATTCCAATATAATAAAGGTGCAAAACTTATCAAAAGTCAATTTGACTGCTGCCATGGCTCTAGAATTAAAAAAGAAGCAATAAAAACAAAGACAATAAACTATCCACACAAAGAGGCAATCAAATCATTGGGTAAATTCAGGTATTCAACTGCATAATAAAATAAAATGTTACATACGAATACGAACAGCATATGGAATATAAAAAATAGCAAATTATATAGTTGTGCTTTTATGTAGCAGTATGCTTTTATGTATCTATTATTAGCAGATGGGCAATAATTTAATTTAAATTTTGAAAATTTGAAAGCCATGACCAAATTTTGAAAGCCACCAATGTTCATGTATTGTATCTAAATCATTTGTGGTGATACATTTAAATGCTAATTAATACTCATTTTAATCCATAAATTAAAGTCAGTAAGGATTGTAATATGTTAAATTATTGCTGATGATGAAATGAACAATTACTTTTGATACATTAAACTGAATTTTATTTTAATGATTTTAAAAGGAAAAATGACATTTACTAAACCTATTGTGGTCATAAATATGATGCAAGAAATGATTTCAGAAGATTTGTAATGAATAAAAATAAAATATAATGAATAGGATCAAACGTGATCTGCCTTTTTTTGAGAGAAAATAAGTTTTCTGGTATATTAAGGTGAAGTCTGATTTAACTGAAACTGGCCTCCATTTATCTCACGGTTATTTTACAGGAGGTTGCTGTAACTAAGCTTTCATGATGCACTCCGATTTCCAGATGTTAAAATTTTATACATACGTACTTGTTCATATTTTGGTAGCCAGAAAAATTGGATAGGTTAAGAAGCTTTATATTTTGAAATACATATAGATTCTTGAAGAAGCTATCATTTAAATTAGGGGTTATAACAAGAATTTCAATATTCCTATAGCCAGGGGCATTCTGATCAAAGTGTTCTGAGTTCAGCTACCTACTACCTATTGAATGTTAATGATTCACAGATGAAAACTCAAATCTTGACCTCAGCTCTGAACCAATGAAATAAAGAAGTACAGTTAAAAATCAAATGAACCAAGCTAAAAGAAACCAAATTCTTCTGCTTAAAAGATGACTGAATGCCATAAATTACAAAATTGCTCACTGAACAAAAGTTAAAATTGTTGAACATTTAAAAACAGCACTTAGTCTAGAAGTAGACTAGGTTAAATTCTTATGGCAACTACATATATTATCTCACACTGAGAAGAACGATAAAGGGAAATAACCTGCTACAACAATCTTTATTTTATTCTATTGGGATGACAGCAGCCTTGTTGACATTTTATTAGGTCAATAACATTTACCACAGTTATTTACACATATGAATTAGAAATGTTATTTGTGACAACAAATTCATTAGGTAGCAATTATAAAAAATAAATAAATAAACAAAAATAAAAGTGCTTTTGTATAACATGAGAAAAAGTTATAAAATTATACTATAATATTAGTTACAGTAAACCCTAGCCAAAAGTGAAGGATATGTCATTAATATTATTGTGTGAATGGCAAAACTGCATTCTGCAAAGTTAACTTTCTGTATAAAACATGTTAGATTAAATTAGGAAAAGTAAAGTATGTACAATCTAAATGAACCTAAATGCTACTGTAATTAAAAGGGAAAATGAAACAAATGTTACTGAAAAGGATTTTTATTACTGCTTAGTAAGTAGGTACAAGATACCATTTTTTTTTTTTTTTTTAAGTTGATGATTTTTGATTTGGACAATCACTGATGCAACTTTTTAAAATTTACATAAAAAGACAGCACATTTCAATGCCTGACATAATGTATCCTCTCTTTTTTTCTTGATTTGAGTCGATCTCCACTGCAAAATCTGATCATTTCTGTGTCTTTTTTAATTCTTCATTCAACTTCATGTAAGTTAAAGACGCTTTATCTTCTTCTTCACTATCACAGCTTTCACGGTCAGGTGGTGTTTAAGATCATCCAGTTCTTCATTCATTATTTCTCAATTAATATTTTGAATTTTCCTTCTTCCATATCTGAAAATTCTTTGTCGCTAATTGCTTTTGCAATCTGTATGATTTTCTTAACTTCATTTTCAACTGATAAAAATTCTTTAAAATTGGTCCCACCAGTGTCCGAGCAGTTAAGGCTGCTGAATGGTGGAACAACCAGGTTTGAACTAAGGTGAAAAGCTGGCTGCATGGTCGGTTTTACCCGTGCAGAATGCAAATCCAAGCTAGTTTTCCTTAGAAACATTTCTATGAAGACATTCCTCTTCTTAGGGAGAGAGCCTTCAAGTGTATCAGTTAATCTAATGTACCTTTTAAAATTGCTGACAAGTTCTGGCCAGAGTCGATACCAATAAGCATTCATTGTTGATGAATGCACTTATTCAAATGTGAATTTAGGCATTCTTATGCAGCAGTTTATATTGAATTGCTTTTAAAATGCCATTAGCACATAGTGCTTTAATTTGCAGTTATGTAAACATGCCTACAAAAATTAGCCAAGGCTTACACTTGAAGTCGCTCAATGCATTTTCATACACACACAGACAGACCCCTCCAAAAAAAAAAGTTCATCCTTACCATCTTTAAAAGTCGGCACAACCTTTTGTGTCCTTGTGATGCAAGTTTGTTGTTCCATTTGCTTATAATGTAGGCGCATTTCATCCACATTGAAAACTTGTCATGTAAGGTAGCCCCTTTCTCCAATGGCAGCCAGCTTCTCCTTGTCTTCGTGGAAATGTGCAAATTAAAATGATGTTTAAAATTCTCAAAACTACCTTTGCTTCAGTTTTTGCTGATTAGCAACCTTTATTTAAAATGAAAAATAGTAACACCAACCACAATTGAGCCTTTTTTGTTTACTTGAATTTTGATCCAAACAATTCATTCTTTCTCTACTTTTACCAGTTGTGAAATTCTTCTCTTAAACTTTAGCAACCTTTCCTGAAGTACTGATAGTAATTTTCCTTTATTATTCCCGTATTGTTACACATATTAGAAGAAAGAACAAAAGACTAGTAAAAAAAAAAACTTCAACATTAAATGGACATGGAAATGTTATGAAAAGCTCAAGTTTTTCTCATTGATTCAGAATCCATTTTAATGCAGATGACAGCTTCTAGATATAGATTATTTTCATGATGAATTGGGAGTTAATAATTTTTTTACAGAATTTGAACTTTATGGAATTTTTTGCAGATTTTGCTTGTAAACAGATTTGAATTCACTATGTCACACACCGAATAAAAGTATATACAGTCGATTCGATTAATCGGACCACATCAGGAAGCGATCGTTTTGGTCCTAATAACCAGCTGGTCTGATTACACGAACATGCCCTATGTTGTAAGATGGGACGTGCTATACGTAGCAAACAGTAAATGTACATGTAAATTGTATACTAAAATGTAATTATGAATTTTATAGTGTGGTACACAAGTATGGCGAACATACATGTACAAATAAGAAATAGTCGAACTTTTTTTCATTGAGAAAATTAATTTAGAAACAAATTCTAAGAAACAATCTCCATGATACTCAACATGGGAAGCACAATAAAAACAATTTCTTATCAAGTTCCAGTCAACATTTGAAGAACTTATCCAATGTGATCTGACGCATTCTCTTGACGGATTGCATGTGAACAAAATTGTCACAAACATCTAATGTAGCAATGGGACTGCCTTCATTTCCTTTCCTGCATGAAATACCGACGCAAAGTTTCAATGCATTTCCTCCCATCCTGTGTTGTCACTTGCACCAACTTATTAGCAGCATCATCATCATAACTTTCTTGGTCTTCCGATGCTGTTGTGTGCTTTGCTGCAACTCAAGCAACGACTGCAGCGTCATAATCTTCATTTTCATCATAGCATTGAAGCTCGATGTCAATGGATAAAAATTCTTCGCAATTTTGTACCTGTTGAAGTTTCACATGTAAACCATCATTTCCACTTTCAATGAGCATGTCAACATCCATCTCTGAAACCAAGTGCTTAAAGCCCCAGTGAGAAAAACAGTTCTGAATTGTCTCACTGCTCACTTTTCTCCAGCTGTCGGCCACAAATGCAACTGCTTGTAAGATGTTAACCT